CCTTTTACCAACTTTATATGGCTCAGCAGCTTTGCATGTACCTGTTGAGAAAATCATTTGAAAAATGAACTTTACCATTCTGAAAAGTTTAATGCCTTCTTTGCTCAGACCAAAAATACAATGAAAGACAATTAACCAAATGATTACCTATAACTTGGACCAGCCTATACAAATCTTGCTTTTGACCACTACCAGAAATTCTAATTCTGACAAAAGAATGAGCAACCTTGTCCCCAAAGTTATCCAGATCATCAAGTAGATCTTCCACTAAATTACGCTTTAAGTAAATTAAATTAATGTTGTGTATATCAATGGCTGCAAAGTCATCAATATTAGACTGTGGTCCTCTCCCATCACCCTTTTTACGTGTTTTGCGTCTCCTGTCTTTACTGGATTTTGCTGGTGTATCAGAGTTTCCATCAGCCTCCAACTGATTGCCTTCAGTATCAACAACACTCCCTTGAAGATCATCAGCCTGAGAATCCTCTTTTACAAGAAAGTGGGATTCCAGAAGTTTTAACATTTCAAAATGCCCAACACGTGGTTTCCCAAATAAATTTTGAAGCCTTATATCACAAATTATCTGACTTTTCCGGCGAGGGTCACGAAGTTTGTTCCTTTTTATATATTCTAGCAAAAGAGCCTGGACATCAAACTGAGACAGAGCAGACTTGTCACCATTTCTCATGTGCATAACAAACTCCAAGAGTTCCTTTGATCCCCACCCTGTACTGTCATCTGCAGATGGGCCTCCAGAACCAGTTGCTGTAGCTGGACTTGATGAATCCTTCCCCTTTCCACGGGTTCTCAATCGTTTCTTGGCCTTTCTTTTTTTAGAGTTGGCCAAATCCAAATTCTCAGAATTGTCTGACTCAGACCCTTCATCATTATTAACATCATAAGGTTCATCATGTGACTCCTGTTTATGTCCAGTTGCTCCTTTCCAAGGATTCTTGGCCTGAGCAAGTTCATCAACCGTTAGAGATAACCTCTCTTTTAAGTCTATCCAATAATCCTTGAAGAGGTACTCCCAGCTGGTTTTATCATCAAAATCAACTTCATTCTGCACAAGCACAACAAAAATAAGTACAAGCTGAATGCCACTGCAAGCATTTAATTTAGAAAATGTGAACCAGACTTGTAAAATCGCACTACAGAGTTAAAGCAAAACAAAAAGTCAAAAGAACTAAAAAGATAAACATGGAATTAATTCTTAACAATGGAAGTACTTATTAAGGACAAAAATTTTAAAGGTAGAAAATTCCTGCAATGTTTCCAAAGGTTCAATCTGATGATAAGACAACTGCAAAGAAAAAAAACCGGCTAACAGATTTTTAAGGATGTAACAAAAAAGAATTGCATGACACATTACTTTCACACGCTAAAATACTTCGAAGTAAGATATATCTTTCACCCTAATAATGACAATGCTCGCAAAAGGAAAATATAAAAGCGGTGAGAGAAAAACAGAAGACAAAAAGAAAGAAGGTATCATACCGTGTCCTTGTTTCCTTGCTCATTCTTTTCAATCAACATGACGGTTTTCATGCATGTCTCACAGAGGCCTTTGTTTCCTCGAACACATAAGAAGAGAGCATCTTTGGTACACCCCTTGCACAAGGAAAAGGTACATGTATAACACATGTAGTGGGCATTCTTCTCACAGTTGCTGCAAAGGTGCCAACCTAATATACATTTGCATTAGATACTGGCCAGCAACCCAAAAACACTAAAACCATTTTCAAAAATAAGCATTTTTATAAATGATGAGAAATGATGAAACTAAGTCACAAATGCAAAAGAATTGGAGCTGATAAGATGAAATCAAAAGGCAATCATAATGCCTGCAATCTCACTCAAAAAAGACAATGCCCACTACATTCAGTAAAACTAGATGACAAATCACAAACGGAGTGCAAAAAGACAGAACTTCCAGGAATAAGGCCAGAGTCTGAACTACTGTAAATGCAGCATAACATAAACCCAAATCCTTCCAAAACCAAACAGATTGACCAATGTTGCCTAGAGCATGGTTCGCCCTGGTACTTGGTAGGAGTCTGGTACTCATTATGTTACTTTAACTTTAACTGTACACAATGCAGTAGGGGTAAGCTTAGTTCGCATATCTGGTCATGGGAATGCATTAGAATTTCTTATTAAGATTGCTTTGGTACTATTAAGTATATATTTAATCACAGTGATAGATTTACAATCAACTTGTAAAAATATATAATCCTCAGAATCAGATTTAAAAACTATGTGACCAATAAAATGGATAGTGTGTGTGTGTGTGTGTGTGTGTAACAAAATGGAAATGCTCTCTTGCCAGACTGTGAATCTGGGTCAGACATTAGGTTGATTCTTTCCTGAATGTATGATCCAGATAGATGCAACATATGAAAACATAAGCACCGGCCTAGAAACATAAATCTGGCAAGAGAACATTACCCTGGAATCGAAAATATGTATAAACCTTTTGTGTTCTTTTCTTAAATAAAGCATAACTTTTTGTTTCATTTAATCCTTCATAAAAAATTAATCGAAGTATTATGGTTTCTCATGGATGAAAAAAAAAGAAAAGAAAAAAAGAGCGAGAGAGAACAGAATAAAACTAGGGACGCTAGTTTTAGTGATCTGGAGTTTGGTGTACCATGTTTTGGGTCATGGTAAGTAGGGGGTGTAGCAATCATGTAACACTTAGGTTGACAATATAGCATATATAAATTCAATGCCACTATCTTGATTATCTATAAGAATATAAGAAATCATCTAAAATGCACAACAGGAATTTTTCTAAAATGTAACATCTTAAGTAGGTATGAGATTCAAAATTTGACAAAGTAGGACTTGATTTTCATGCTTTAATAAAGATATATCTCCTAACTCTTGAATTTGATACATCATAAAGTCTAGCCCTATGAGTTCCACAGATTTGATTTACGCTGCTTAAGTCCCCCTTACTTAAGCAGCATTCCATATTATAAAGTAATCTGACACAACAAAGAACAATTCTGGGACGATTACTACACCAATAGCATGAAACTTTGGTCCGAACTTTCCATTGTTTCCCTAAAATTCTGGAAGTATGCAAAAAGAAACTTACTGGAAGTATGGAAAAACCAAAATTTAAACAACAGTATCAATTTTTCAGACCTTGCCAACAACTGGTATTGCTTTTTCTTCTGTAATTAAAACAAATTTCAAAGACAAAAACATTCAATTTTTTACAACATGAAAACACTAACCCAATCATCACTAAAACTAACGATTTACTTATCCAGCTAGGGTTTTAAGGTACAAAAAACACATGCCAAACACAAATAATCACCAAAAATCAAACATCTGAAAGACACGGAATGAGTAAACAAAGGAGTATTAGATAAAAAGATGAGAATTTGGCAAAAAGTAGGAGAAAATTACCGCAATTCCATCGACCCTTAGCCCGAAAGAAAGCCTCATCACGATTAACACATGAAGGATGGTATGCTTTAGGACATCCCCTGAAAACCACCAATTAAATCAATATCATTCAATCAACTAATCACAGAAGTAACATTAAAAGAAGCACAAACAGTGAGCAGAGTTTAACTGACCTGCGATCACAAAGTACAAGCTCACCCCCATCAAAGCAAATGAAACAGACATCCTCTTCCATCTTCTTCTTTGAGAGGAGTTTTCCCGTCGCCTTAGAACTCTTCCCACGCTTCCTCTTCCCGCCACTGCCGGCCCTATTCGTTTCCTCATCCTCCTCCTCCTCCTCTACTTCCATCCCTTCTGCTTCTTCCTCTGCTGCCTCTGTCTCCTCTGCCTCAGTTGTCTCCTCCATTGCATCATCAGCCATATCCACCTCCTCCACCATGTCGGTCTCAGTCACCATGTCCGTCACATTTGCCTCATCATCTCCCTCCACCTCTTCCTCAGTCTTCTCATCCTCTGCCTCAGCCTGCTCTCCCACCGCTTGGACCTTCTCAGCCTCTGCTTCGGCCTCCTCCGCTTCCACTTCGGCCGTCTTTTCCTCTGCTTGGTCCTTCCATGAAATGACAGTCTCCTCAGCCACTTCAGCCACATTAGACTTCTCAGCAGCCTCCTTTGCCGAGTGAGTTACAACACCTTCCTCGGACAACACCTTCTCCGTCTCCAATCCCCTTTCATCCTTTTCATCCACGGCCCCAACTTCAGTTTCCTCTGTCACCTGACCTTCGGCGACACTCAGCTCCGCCACAATCTCGGTATCCTCTGTCCAATGACCTTCAGCGACATTCAGCTCCTCCACAATCTCAGTATCCTCTGTCCCATGACCTTCTGCGGCATTCAGCTCCTCCACAATCTCAGTATCCTCTGTCCCATGACCTTCTGCGACATTCAGCTCCTCCACAATCTCAGTATCCTCTGTCCCATGACCTTCTGCGACATTCAGCTCCTCCACAATCTCAGTATCCTCTGTTGGAACCGCATCAGATTCCCCCTCAACACCGAGCCCGAAGCCCTCGGTTTCGGGCTTGAGCTCGGGCTCGGGTAAAGACTCCGACATGCATTGGGGCTCGGTTCTCCGGAGCTCCTCCTGTGTTTCAGGAGACAGTACAGCGTCATTTTGAACCGGAACCGAAGGCTCGTTCACCTTCAAAACATCTTCTTCTTCGGCTTCCATTTGAATATACTAAATTCGGAAATCGGAGATTGAAAACCCTAAAATCGACAGAGCTAGGGTTAGGGTTTTAAGGTTTCGGTTCCCTTCCCTGGTAGGATGATGTACGTTTTATCGTTAAACACTAAAAAGATTTTGTATTAAAATTAACTGAGAGTGGTAGAGAAGGAGAAGCCAACCGTAAGCAAGAAGGGGTTTCCCGTGCCGCGCGGTCGAGTCCGCTCACTTATATGTAGTCACTGTATCCGGTCACCGTTGGATCTAATCCAACGGATGAAAAGAAATCCAATCTTACAGTAGAAACGGGTAAAATAAAACCCGTATTTTCTAACGAACATCCGACCCGACTAAACTTTGAACAAGAGTTACGTATTCTCTCCTCTCCTTGTCTCTAGCCTGTGAAACAACTTCCTCTTCTTTCACACCAAGTCCACCATGGATGATCGCCGAGATCCAATCCCTCCCTCTCACATTCGCCTCTCTCTCTCTCTCTTTCTTTCTCAAATCTTGAGGCCCATCAAGAAAAAGATTATTCGCTCAAAGAATCTACAGTCGCAACCTTTAATCTGCTACCTCGTCAATTTCATCCTGGTGTGTCTTGGTTGGTAGAGGTAAATATGCACTTTTTTTTTTCTTTCTAAATCAGCGAAATTGGTGTACTGAAACCTGGGATTGTTAATGCAAATTGGGGAAAACCGATTTAATTGTTGCTTGGAAGTGAATCATCTAAGGAGAAAGGGTTTCTGTACTCGGTTTTCTTTTTGCTTTGTATCCACGGCATAATTACTTTTTGTTATTTTTAGGCTTTGATTTTGAGTTTTAGGTTATAATATCTGCCTGTGATTTATGCTGGTTTTCAGTTTTCTAGTTTCTAGTGAGACAAACCATTTGCAGAGAAGGAGAGGATCATATATTAATTCTGCACTAGCTGATGATTTTGTTTAATTTTCAGTTTGGCTGCTGCATTTTTTATTGATGAAGAAAATGAAATAGTGAATAGGTAAATGAAGACTAGTTCCAAGTTGATTGGCATGGTCTAGTCACTTAGAAATGGATTCAAGTTGGGAAATTTATAATTGGATCCTTTGTTTTGATCATAAAAAAACTCTCCCAGTAGAGTAGTAGATTGAATTACGCTTGAATTTACGGTCAACATAAATGAAAGTTTTTCGCATTAGAGCGTTTTTGTTTTATTTAATTTGGCTACATTGATGAAGGGATTCGTTTTGCATCGGAATTTTGTTTTTGTTGCTTCCAAAACCACACCACTGTTTGCCATAATTTCCCACTTTCAAGCAACAGAGTTTTGGTGCTTTTCCCCCGAAATTCTTTCACGCTACTAATTGATCATTTTCGTATAGTATCCAGCAATGGTAGCCAAAAACAATTTCTGTAAGCAGCAGTTTATCTGTTTGCATTTAGTAATTTGTTTATGTATTTCTGTTCAGGCCATATATTATGAACTGATTCTGTGTGTCTCTCCTTTTGTTCAATTAGGATTTGTTTCTTCAGCAAAAATGGTAACTAAAATGGTGGATCTGCGATCCGACACAGTCACTAAACCTAGTGAGTGAAACAATGCAGGCCGCAATGGCAGCTGCCGAAGTTCATGATGATGTCAAAAGGTATGCCTGTCAAAAGTTATTGGTGCTCCTGTTGGATCTGTCCTTGTTGGTTCCAAATGCTTTATTACTAAGATACTGTTGAGAATTCCTCTTGTAAAGATCATCTTTTCTTTCTTTTTTTATCGAAATTTGATTTGTTGTTGCTTTTGCTTCTTAGCCTAGAAGGCTCAGGAAAACCTTAGGAGGTGGAATGAGACAGGTTGGTATCCTTTGTGCTGCTGCTTTGGTCGCTTTACATGAGAATGTGGCAAACCTCGACACCGATCACAAGAGAGCTAAGATTTTAGCAGGTATATTCTCAGTCTACTTGATTTTGTATACCAAACTTGTTTGGAGCACAGCCGTCGCCTTCTCTTCGCAAGCTCTATTCATGGATTTTCTTATATTTCCTTTTGATAAATTCAGAGGGACTAAATCAAATCAAAGAAATCGTTGAGACCAACATTGTGAATATTATCTGCTCAAATTTAGTCTTAGCCGGCTCTGAATTTATTTCTACCATTTACTTTTATCGTTCTTTCAGTGAAACTTAATATATATCATCACATTCACATGTTTGCATATCTGCAATTGCTCTCTCTCTTGTCGCCCAAATTTATGCTTCTTTTCTATGTAAATGTTGCAGCGAGCTCTGACTGGAGGCCATGATGAAAATGGAAACTATACATGGGACAACACAAGCTCCACCCTTCTCTCTGTGTCTCCAGCATGATTTCATCTACCTTTGAACATGCGATTATTCAATCTTTGCCAAACTTGTAAACTTCTTTGCTAGTTTCATTTGTAAGATTTTATGGTGGCAGAATTTAATGTGTTTTATTTTATTTTTTCATGTATATAACATGACAATCAAAGACTTTCACCGATCCTGCTTATCAATATTTGACTTTCTCTATTAAAACATCTGACTTATAATAATGGGAATAATCCTTAATGTCTCCCTATTGAATCCGTGATGAACGCTCTATCGATAGTGCCTATGGAGGTGCTTTGCCCAGCACATACATAACACGTAAATAGTGCCTCTGTAGTGTCTTGGCAGCTGCCATTATCTTAATCTCTAAGAGCACCTCCACCCCAAAAAGGGAAGGGCAGGGCAAGGCAAGGCAATGTCTGACACTATTCATGAATAGTGTCAGCCTTGTCTTTTTTTGTTCCACTTCAAAGGGCAAGAATAAGGGCAAACACTATTTACTTTATTTTATTTTTCTATTTTTTATACTTAAATATTAATTTTGATAGCTTTTCTGATAATATTTTCGGTTGCCACGTGTCACTATTTATTATAAAATTCTCACCTAAAATTTCAGATCACATTTTCGGATAAAATTTTCGGTTGCCACGTGTCCATATTTATTAAATTAAAATTTTCAAATGGAATTTTGTAGTAGAAAATTTGGTATGGAGAGTGAAAAATATTGGAAGGAGATGAATTTGTATGAAGATTTGGTGTGGAAAGTGAATAATATTGAGTAGGTATTTATAGAAAAAAATTCCAAAATTTTTTGATATTTTTTTAGGCATTGACGTCGGCAGCATGCGAGCAATAGCCTAGTCCATTTTTGCCTATGGGCTTGCCCAGGTTGGTGGGTCCCATGGCTTGCCTGAGCTGGCCTTTCTGCGCTGGAGGTGAAATTAAGGCCTTGGGGGCCCTGTTGCCATGGCAGGGCTATAGCGCTACACTTGCTCTAAAGCTTAAAAAATAATTTTGACTTGTAAAAAAAATTCAAATAAGTTGGCAAGCTCAAGTTTGTTTATATACTGTTAAGTTGAATGTCTTACTCTTCCTCGCTACAACTCTTCCTCAAATGATTTCTTAAAATTTCCCATAATCAAATTTTGATTTTCACACTTCATCGTTGAAGCAAATGACGGTAGGGCAATACCATGAATAGTTGGATGGGCAAGGTTCAAAAAATGAGTCAATTATCTTAACATCTATCAATACAAGAGATTTTGGCCAAGCTACAATAGAACCAACATCATCGTTGACAGTTAAGATATCATCTCTCACAGGGATGGGAACCTTAGCTTCAACTTCAATTGATATAGTAAAGGCAACTATGTGATCCATTGAGTCTAAAGCCAACTTGCATTCCTTCACATAAACATTAAATACAAAACCATGCAAATTAATTTATACCAAGACAAACCGATAGAAAGCATTTTTTTAAACCTATAGATATTAATTTATACCTTTGGAATCCTTATCCTTACTTCTAGAGTCGGTCCATGGCATGTGCGGGCTGTGCGACCGCATAGGGCCCCTCAAAATTTAGGGGCCTTCAAATGTTTTTAAAAGCCCAACGTTATATTATATTTGTGGGTATGTGTAGTTTTTTTTGTATGTAAAAGAAAATTGAATGAATTAAAGTATGTGAAAATAGAAAAAGGATGATCTTGATTCTATTTGTAGGTTCTAACGTAATTGGTACCACATATTTTGGTTTAATTTATGATTTATGAATTTTAAAATTTGAAAAATTGTTAATTTACTTATATATATATATATAGGGCCTCATCAGCTTTCTTTGCACAGAGCCTCCATATCTAATGGACCGGCTCTGCTTACTTCCATTCGTATTGTATTACTGAGATCTGACGACCACTATCTTAGTGCAAGATCCTTAACAAGCGGCATAGGCCATGACATGGTTTTGGTGTTTTGCACCATGCCAAGACAAGCAAAATGTTAAGTGGTGGTGCACGTTGAAAGCAAGATAAGGTTGGAGGAATGTATCGAATCTGCTAGCAAGGCCATCGAAAGCTCTCGGCAGCGCATGGCGAGCAAATGCGCGTAGCACCTATCGAGCAGATGCGTGCATCACATGTCGAGCAGGCGAGCAGTGCATGTCGAGCAGATGCTTGCAGCCTAGCGTGTGGACGGGCCTTGCACCAGACATGGTAGATGCAGGCAGACGTGTTGGGCAAGTACTCTGACGTGGCCCTAGCAGTTTTTAGCAGTTTCAAGGGTGTTGGAACCAATGGCATTTCTAGGTTGTAGCAAGCTGGGATCATGCTTGGCCCAAATTTTTGTTAAAAAATTCTTACCTACACTACATATGTTCCCCACTTACATTAAGCATATACAAACCTGTACAAACCTTTTTTCTTTCTTTTCCTTCCCTCTTCTCTCCTCTCTCTCCTTTTTCATTTCTTTTCCTTCTCTCCTCTCCCTTTTTTTTTCCTTCTCTCACCTCTCCTCTCTCCCTTTTTTTTTTCTTTTTTTTTTTCGTTCTTTTCCTTCTATCTTCTCTTTCTTTTTTCTTCTTTTTCCTTCTCTCTTTTTGTTTTAAAAAAAAATTTACCTACACTACTTATAATAATAATTATTATTATTTTTAGTCTCACACAAACCCCAAGCCCGCCTATATTTTTATTTTCATTTTTATTTTTGTCTCTCACAAAGACAATTGTTTTAGAAATTTTAGAAATTAATTTTTGTATTTGTAGATATAGATGCATTTGAGGGTAAAGCTCATTACGTTACCCCTCACTATGTGTATTTTTTTATGTTTATTAATGAAATTCACTCCTATTGTTGAGTTTAGTATATAAGTTTTGTCCGATCGGCTTTCGAATCCTGAAATCGCCACTGATTGGAACGTGGTTGGGATGCTGGAGAAATTATAGAATGGTACAGTATCACCATGTCAGCGGGTGACACTTCCATTTAGAATTTGTCACGTGTATTTTTTTAAAGAAAATTTATACTTCTTTTTCAGCTAGACATTGGGTTCCAATTTTACCCTTCATCAAAATTAAAAGAGAAAAAAAACTGTCACAGCCTCCCACCTCTGTCCAGTTCACAGCCCCCCTCTCAGCCACATCATCCCTCCCACCTCTGTCCAGTTCACGGTCCCTCTCTGCAACGTCTTCCCTCCCTGTTTGTATTCCTTTCCCCAATCCTTCAATCTCCTTTTCTATGTTGCTTTCATCTCCCTCAAAACCTCCATATCCAAGTTCTCTTTATCCAACTTTGCTCTCAATCCCACAATGCCTTGACAAGAGATGATCATATACACGCATTCAGAAAGATGTGCAAAGCAAACTTAACCTAAAAGGCCCCAAGAAATTCTTGATTTGCAAAGATAAGGTTTTGACCCATGGAATGTGATGATAAAAGCCAACTATTAAATAAAGTGATTCTGAGAGAGAGAGAGAGAGAGAGAGAGAGAGAGAGGGAGGGAGGGGGCACAACAAAGGGGTAGAGGTACTGCAACCAAGGTTTGCAATCGTCTTCTTTCTTTTTTTGAATTAATTTTGTTCTAAATGGTAAAATTGAAACCTAATGTCTAGCTAGAAAATAATTTAATTAGTGGAGAAAAAAAAAAGACACGTGTCAATATATGAGTGGAAATATCACCAGCTGACATGATGATACTGTATTATTCTATAATTTCTCGGGATGCTGGGGTTTGAAATTCAAACGTGAATTAAGTGTTAGAGAGGTTGAAGGCGGTTTACGAGGATGTGACTGCATGCTTCAAGTAATGGGCAAATTTTCTATGAGTGAAAATCGGCCTTAAAGCATAGTAGGTTGCTGGGGAGGCGCTAAGAGGGGGCTCAGCAGTTTTGTGGGAAAACTGAATGACTAGGTAGTGGACCTAGGGGCTACCACTAGCAATGCCTAGTAGATGGGGATGTCATCTACACGTTTTATGCTTATAAATAGACCTTGAGAAGGTTGAGTTGAGATACAAAGTTGTGAGAATTCTTATTCTTAAAAGTTTATTTAGGAAGGATAAACATTTTATTTTTAAAGTAATTACTTTGGTAAGTATTACATTATAATAATTATATGAATAATTGTTGTACTTTTATAATAAATTATAGTATTATAATCATTTTATGGAAGTCTATGTTTTATTTAATTGCGTCACTTATTGCATGTTCATTATTTTTAATTAAATGGTTTTGATGCTTTCCGTAATATTTTCTTTTAAATATAAAACTAGTTAATGGTAGTAAGATTGTTTTGTGCATGGCTATCTACTTGGAATATTTCATGCATGGCTCCGTAATTGCGGAGTTATCTTATATGCTCCACGTGGTTAGCATGTGTCAATCAACTATGCAAATTACTTGCATGGTAGCCAAATTGGTTTACTAGCCTAGGGATCTGTGGAAGAGTGGCATTTTCGAGAACAGTCTTGGAATTGCAAAGCGAGAAAGGAATGGCTGGAGGTAGTGATTCCTTGAAAGAGAGAGTAACAATGTTGGTGAGTAGAGCGCCAAAGAGCTGGAGAATTTCTTGTGGCATATAGAGCAGTATTTCCAAGCTATCAAGGTTTCGGATGCCTAGAGGATGTCCATCAAGAGCATGTACATGGTTGGGGATTCTAAGTTATGGTGGAGGATTCGTGTGTAAGAAGTGATGAGTGGGGGCAAACCCATGATTGATAAGTGGGTTGTACTGAATAAGGAATTGAGAGCTCAGTTTCTTCTATGCAATGTTGCATTTTTAGCAAGGGAAGCCTTGAAGAATTTGAAGCAAGTTGGTTCAGTAAGGGACTACGTGAAGGCTTTTTGTTCTTTGATGCTTGATGTGTCCAATATGTCAAAGGAAGACAAGTTGTTTAACTTCCTCATGAAATTTGCAGCCCTGGGCACTATCGGAATTAAGGAGACATAACATGAGAAGCCTCAATTCCGCCATTGCTGTAGCTGAGAGATATATGGACTACCAAGCAGCAGTCATTTCTAGTATGAAGAAGAAGTAAGGTGGGAAGAAGCATTCAAACAACAGGACAGTCGAGAAAAGGAAAGAGATTGGGATTGCTTCAGATGGAGCCAATGGCAAGAAGCACAATGACAAGAAGAAGTTTTCAGGTTGCTTTCTTTGCCAAGGTGC